AAACAAAAATTTAAAAAACAAGAGACAAACCAAAGTTCTATTAATTTTTTAGGGAAGAACAAACCTACATTAATGTTGTAGTTAGTAATAAGTGCAATGGTGTTTGAACCTACCAGATAGGCCTACTTCCCAAGGACACAGGCAAAATGCACATCGAAAGAGATGAGAGCAACCGCTGTGTTAACCACCAATAATCAAGTTTCTATGTAGAAAATTTCAAGGTCGGTTTTCAAATCCTGTAAAACAACTCAATTTTTTTTTACCACTCACTTTCGTAACAATAGACATAGTTTACAGTAGAGTCCCGTGTTTGGGACGCTCCTATTAAAGGAACGTGGAGACTTTTGGCTTCAAAGTGACAGAAAATATATACGGCCAACCCCTATTCAGGGGGACACATTTATTGTTTCCAAGGGGGTTCCATTAATAGGTATTATTGTAATTCTATTCAGTAGTTAGCAATTGTATGCTTGATATTAAGTGTTACTATCATCAGTGTTACATGTATTATAATGATTAAAAAATATCCCACATAAAAATAAAATAGAAACAAAAAACAAATAGCATGGCAAGTAACCAATTATGAACTTAAATATAGGATTTAAGGACAGGTTGTTATGAAGGGGGTAAATGACCTTGGTAAATATATCTGGCCACCCAAGCTGTTTCCAGTTAACCCAATACAGAGCTAGGCTCCAGAAGTCTAAACCTTCAGCAAGGCCAACTAGTTTTTGACCCTGCACGTGATAGCATGCCCCCTCTAAAACAATGGCCTGTCAATCGCACAAGGTCGTCAACTTCAATGTGGCTGTTTGCCTCTCAAGTTGCTCATCGATTTCGAAACATAAGAAACTTAAAATATATGAAGTATTAAAGATCGTTTTAATTTTTTCATAAATACGTATTTAATAGGAAAAGTATATATGATAATAATCTAAATTTCTGATCATTTAGGTAGCTAAAGATGAATTTGGTATTAATGTCAAAAATACAATAGATGTAATTTTCCAATAATTTAAGATAGGTTATTAAATAATTATTAAATGAATATTTTTTTTTTGTAATTCCCTATTGATTGCTAAGTTTGATTTTATTTTAATATATATTTGGCATTGCATACAAAATTAAAAATATTAAATCACTAATTTCACTTTAGTAAGAATACAAGAAAAGGAAGTTAAAAATACACATTCCAAGAATAGTTGTATCAATAGCATTTTCATGGTTTTATTTCCACTACGAAACAAATTGATCAAGCAATATCACTGTTTGTTTAAATAAAAATTGTTTTGTGTGTATAAAGGGGATAAATACTTTTTGACCTTGTAGTAATTGAGTGGAGATCATGGATGGCCTAGAAAATTATGCTTCAAATTGTTTCAGTGTCATTTGGCATTATTATTATCTGTAGTTCTGTATATTTGAATGTAACTAACTGGAACACTCTAAATTTTAACATATTTGTGACTCATTTTAAATAATGATTACGATAATAGCTACTAAAACAGGCCCATAATTATAGCGATTTCTATGGTTGGGCCAAACCTCCTTTTTAAGTGAACTCACTCAGAAAAACCAAAGCACCCCTTTCACGTGCTAAATACCATCAAAATGAGGGTTATATTCACCATATACGTGATAGATTTTTTCATCTCCTTGGGAGGCTTCTGCCCCATACCCCCACTGTTATATATACTCTCTAAGGTATATTGTGGTGGATAGATGATCCTTCAACTTACCATGTAAATACTCTGTTAATGTTCTAAGTACACTGCATAGATATGGAAAAACAATTCATTTCCTCTCTCCTGAACTTTCGTTATCGCAAATATCGCTAAGCAAAATATGAAATTTTATAAAGATTAAATAACCTCAGATTTTTTTATTTTTAGTTTGATTTAAATTTTTGATTAGTTTTTTTTAATGTTTTAAGTTGTATATAATATCATTTTAGTTGCACATTTGTGAACCTAATGTATACCAGTATCTACAGTATAGAATGAGCCCTTACAGAATGAAGATTTGAATTTAATTATTGTAATCATTATCATAATCAAATTAATTGTTTAGCATCTTTATTATATTTTCAGATTAGATTTTCAACTTTGTCTAAAGATCTATATGTCCCCTAGCTTCATCATAAATAATCTAACAATCTAACCCAGTGGTTCAACGCTGGGTCTTGGATACCTTTCCTGGGTTACGGTCTTTTTGTAGGCTAGGATCCATGTAGTACGGTATAGTGGCGGATCATGCAAGAATTCAAAATAAAAGGGGGGCCACAAATGGAGACACTAGATCACCATAGTTGGGGGCTGGGGTGAAAGAATTTATGATTATGGCACCTCAAGATGGCCGGAAATGGCACTCTCAGACTTAAATTTGGATATAAAAGTAGGCGGTATGCCCCCCTTCCCCCTTAAATCCACCAACTGCATTAATTTTTTTTTACGTTTAATCACACGGGCGGTGGGGGACCCACTAAACCCCCTGAATCCACTCCCGGATTCGACACTGAGGATCCAGTGGGTTTTAGAACCTTCGAGGCTCCTAGGGGTCACAGGTCCTGCGAACTGCTGCATGATGGTACATAGGAATTACGCCATTGATCTAACCTCCAATGTTATGAACAAATTGATATAATCTATTATAAAGAGGGCGCTATTTGCTTATTGTTCAACAGCAAACAACTCCATCTGGTGACTTGATAATTGACCTAGTTGTTTGACCCGTCGATGACAAATGAAAATAAATACTTAATTTCATTGCATAATATCTATTTTTTTAAAATATTTGTGTTTCAAATGTGTCATAATGAGATACATTGCCCCTCATTGCATTGCAATTGAACTTGGGATAAAAATAACATATCATAAAGCTTTTATTCACTTATTTATGCACTTGTTAACTGTAGTCTCGGACCCGGTCCTAACATACACCTTTGAAACGATGGCACTCAATAAAAATTGGTGCGTTCACAAAAGTAAATTAAATCAAAATACAAATACAAAATGAGTTACCGGAGTTAAAAATAAGCATCTGTATTACGTACAGCATAAAAGGCTTACCAAAAATAATATAAAGTGTGACTTAACTAGCAACACATAAACATAGGACTTTACCTAACAAAATAAGTTTTGTATCACTTAATATAAATGTGCAATAAAGGAAAAAATACAGCAATGCAGAAAAGAACTAAACAAAATTAAATATTTAAAACTAAGATAAAACAAAAGGATAATCAATTATGGAATTTAATATTTCATTACGTAGATTCCATGCTTGTTTAAATTATCTTTTGCAGAACCTATCACAAATAACTTCACTTTCTCTGTTAAGAATAAGAATGCACAACCCTAGTAATTCCTTTTTTGCCTCAAATCCATGACATGGAATAATGATGAGGAACAATGAAAGGATTCCTCATTGACAACAATAGACAAGTTAGCTGATTACTCTACAAGATCAAGTTAAAATGTCTTGGCTTCCTGGTGTAATCGTTTGTTTGCAATAGATATGTTGAATGAGCTGTTGTTAAACCTCATGGCGGAACCAGAAACAAAAAGGAAGGAAACAGAAGAACAAGTAACCTCCTTCCGAGGGAAACTACACAGCTGTTAAAATCAGTATTGGAGGAACCTATTGGAAGTTGCTATTAATATTCAAGTGCGCTTGTACCCTAGCATACCACACTGCTAAACCAGATTGTACTGTGTAGTTCAACAATTAGGGAAAGTCCCCTAACAGCAGAAAGTCCTCTGCGATAGCATCCACTTGCCTTACTCATGAGATGGTATCAGTGAAATATGCACCCTCTAAAGTTTTCTTAAATATGTACTGTATTTATTGTCGGGTATTAAAAATCTGGAAAACTATTCAAATTTCAATATTAACTTGCGTTTTTGAATATGAGACTCAAAAAAGTAAAAACTTTATTGATTTATATCTTTAATTACCATTCAGTATAAGTATCATATGCATTTGTAGATAGGAAAGATGCATCTGTTTATTGGGAAAGAACTTATTTTCAGATTTTAATTGAAAGCTAATTTATCTTAAATATATACAAAGAAAGCAATTAAAATTTCAAGTTTATTAGCTTGATGCTGCTGTAGTTAAAGGATTTAGTAAATATTTGCGGTTTTGGTATTTGATTGACAGCAGATTAAACATTCTTAATGATTCTATTTCCTCTTTAAAACATATTTATGTGCCTGGTCTGACCAATCATCATACAAACTTGGATTGGGCTTTATTTTTTGCTGGTGGTATTGTTATATAATATTTAATGCATAATGTGCTCATTGTTTTATATTTACTTTAAACTTCATACAACTAGATACTACAGTATTTATATTAAAAATATGAAGTGATTTTTGTTGAATAACCAATTTTTTGAATCAGATTGTAAACAGAATGAAGTGGCACCTTCAATTTTTATGGTAAACATAAAATGTTACCTTGACCACCTCTGAGCCAATCCTAGTACTAATTATAGAGTGTAAATTGTACTATAAATTGATCTCTTGGTAGTTCTACTGAAGCATAGGTTTAACCTCCAGGGGTTTGAAAAAATAGTATCAGCCACCGCCAGACTTAGCAAATTTTAACAATTTTCCGGGGCTCATAGAGAGTGCGTATGTGATCAGATTGACATGTAGTGAATACTACAAGAACTACAAATATTTTAGCTTTACAATGGTACCAAACAGTTGATTGTATTCACAATCTGTGACCCGTAACAGTAAAATGAAAATGACTCACTTTTGGAGATTTACGCAATTTTGCACAACGAAGCTGGGATTTCATGAATATAGTGTTCAAATTGTTAGTACATGTCCGTAATTACCTCATCTATCGATTCCGTAAAAAATAATGAAACACGGAGATCTCAGTGTTTGGTGGTCAGAGTGTTAATAATGTGTTTTTAATTTTAGCACTATGTAACTTTAATTATTCTTCATTCTCTGACTCTACACATGTTTTTCGGTTCTTTACAGGGGGCACAGTGGTCAATGGACATGGTCCCGTGGATAGTTTTGCAGCGCGTGGGGTTTTTACGGCAACTGAACTAAGACGAGCAACAAGGCGTAAGTAGTGTTCTTATTTAAAAGCAGCTCATTGAGATTTTACAATAAAGTAAAAATAAAGACAATTTTAGTACCTGATTGTTAATTACCATGTGACTATGTACTGCCTTTTGATTGATTGATTTATTGATTAGATGGAAAGTGACTAGCAAGTGCTTTCTACCAAATGTTCAATGTCGATGATGCAGTGCCAATTTTACTCATTGTATCTGGTGAATATTTCTAATACCATGTTCTCTAGATACTGCTGACATCTTCACCAGATCTCCTAAAGTTACCATTTTCATGTTAGCTTCTGTTGCCCCATTTCAGCCTGGTATTCCATACGATTCTTTCCAAAACCCCCATCAGGTAATACCATATGTACAAAATTATCAGTGCCATTCATCAGATGGGTTCATTGTTCTGGTGCCAGTGTACCAGATGTTCTCTTGCATTGTTTCCACATTAATGGTTGTTCTTACCAATATACTGATTTCCACCCATCACTGAAGAGTCTCTGTAGTGTTTCCAACAGTACGACTATGACTCTTATTTGACTTCACTCTTATTTGACTTCAAGGATTGTTTCCAAGTGTCACCAGGCTGGCTAACAGGTTGAATGGCCTGTAATCAGTTATGAGTATGTCAGTGTTACAATTATGATATCCCAACAACTTTGTCCTTTCTCTATGTCATGGAAATTATACCAAAGACAGATGTTCTCAGAATAAGAATTGAGTAACACTGTTAGAGGAAAAGGGCCATACAGAGGACATGGTCTCTCCAGGGACTTAAGACCTGCTAAAATTTTGTTAATATCTGCTTAATTTCAATACATATGCTTGAAATGTCATCTTTTTGGGTTGTGCAGTATGTTTGATGGTTTTTTTGGTTTTGGTTTTTTTTTTGTCTTTGTGGGTTGGTGTGACAAGGTTAAAAGATTCCTGTGCTGTCAATATTTCATCAATTTTTATTATCATTGATGTTTCTGTATTATCAGTAACTGTTTCTTCTCAACATTCAAAATGAGTACATATTTTTTAGGGCACTCTTCACTTCTAATATCAAGGTCTTAAGATTACTTAGTGAAGAATATACTTTTTATGAATTTTATTCCAAAGTTTAAAAGTACAAATCATAGTAAGTATAGGTAAATAAAATTGGTGCCGATCCAACCTTACCATAGTAGGTATTGGCATAGTTTAAATGGGTTTGGGATCATTTTTGGTTTTAGAATTTGTGCCAGATTCTTAGGTTATACACTAGAATTTAAAGATAAAATAATTTGTTGTTAAATCCAAACCGGAGATTTCCAATTTTAGTTGGTCAGCAAAAAGATCAATCCATTGAATGCTTGTGTTTCTAGATCTATTGTAGTCATTTGTATTTAATAGTCAAACAGACTCTATAAAAGTTTCCTATTAGATATAATCTAACAGCAATTGATTTGATTATAGATGATGACTAGGATGTTTAAGTTTTAGGGGTCCCAAGTTCGAAGAAGTCAATACCTGGAGATCTGGTTAAATTCACATTTATTTTTATTTTTCTGTGAATGGTGACACCCATCGACATAGACTTCCGTAAAACAATTGATAACATGTAAATACAGCAAATGAGTTTGGGATTATAATTAATAATGTTATTTTTCCATGTTTTATTGTAGGTTATCCTTTATTGTACATCCTGTAAAAATTTGTTTTGTTCATTATGTGATATTGTTAACATTACTAATCCAGCTTACAGCCTTACTAATTAAGCTAATTCATTTGTTGGTATAATTTCCACTTAGCAGGTGGTACTTGTCTCTGTAAATTATCAACAACATTCATAAACAACTTGTTTATCCAGTGAACTTTCTAGAAGCCATTCATGCATAGAATACTGAGCATAGAGATGGGTTTTGAAATGGCATTTATGATCATTAAAGCCGTTGTAAGATTAAATATTGACCTGTATGAATTAGTGACCCAGAGTCAATATTTTACTGTAAAATCCACATTTTAAAAAATTGTGTTATTCGAAGTGGAAGGTGAGAGTGTGCGTACTCCCATTTAATATCCGTAGTTGCTTCAGTGTTGGTTGATCTTGAAGCATTGCCAACGAATAACTTCCCCCGTTCTTTTCTGTTTTCGTTTGATTGAATTGCAATAGTTTTTGAAAGTTCGTTATGACATCATTCATTTACATTCCAAGTTCATGATAAGGTTGACCGCTTGCAAGTGATTCCATCTGTAGGATGTCACTCATGTAAAGTTATGTGGTAAGCTTTCGATGAGTTGTAATGTTCCGGGTTGTTGAAATGATTGTATGGTATGTTTGGTGCCCTCTATAGTTTGACAGACTGACTTGTATGCCAGGAAGGAATTCAGTCATTTTTTTTTCTTTAGGGTTCTTTTCAAACACTTCGTGACATTCAAAATGACATCGATATTAAACTATTCAAATGATTTATGCACAGTTTTATAAAATAAAAAATTTACTTATTTCAAAGTTCTATATTTAAATAATAATTTTCCAAAATCAACTATTTTTATGGGACAATATAAGTTTACAAAATTTTACATTTTGATATTTTAATTCTTATAATTACTAATTAACTACCAGTTGTTATTTCTGATTCTTCTTAGGAGTTAATTTTCCTTTTACAGTAGTATGTTATAAACGCCCTGTGGTTTGTTCTTGTTTTCGTGTAGCACCAATCTGTAATGGAGCCAACGTAACTGGTTTAAGTTTCTCCGGGGATCTTGACAGTCCCAGCATGTGCCAGTACTCTAGTTCATTCCCGGGGACAACACACCCGATAAATCTCCGGAGAACCCCGTTATCGCAGACGCAACCGCAGCCCATGAAGCGCCAGAAGCGAATCTCCAGCAGCATGTCAACATCCGTGGATGATGACATCGATAGCGTTGGAGAGGAGAAGATCTACGGTCATTCGCCTGCCTCCGTTAGCAGTCATTCGTCTGGTTGGCATAGCGACATCGATCCCGCTGGTAAGAACCTAGATGTTGTAATCGTTTTCTATTCATGTGGGATTCTAAAATTTAAATTCAATTTGAATTCTTCAATTCCTGTCATTTGCTGTATTTACACAAAACTTAACAAAACTTTTCAATAATGTTTTCAAACGTCTTGGTCATGTGATCAGTAGAATTGCTAAGGTACAGATTGATTAGCCAATCAACGATCACTATTACTTGCATTGTCTGTTGCTAGACATTAGGTTAGCCAATCGGATGACTGATCACTGTGAACTAGTGTTCTATATTCTCAGAACCTATGGGTATTGACGGAGACTTTGTGCTAAATTATAATCAGTTTCAATGATTGATCTTGATGGCCGTCTTATTGTCTTTAAATCGAAGCAGACTTAAAGGGTCGATGAAAGTTCTCCCTCCGTTCTTATTCATTCCTTTCAATCTTACTGTAAGTTTCCATAATAAACACTGACAATCTCGATATTCTTATTTCTGTTCAAAAAGAAGTATTATTTTTGTATAATATAAATATGTAATTTTACATTATATGGGGAAACATTGCTTATCTTTTAATAAACATATCTTAAATTATGGATTCCATTATAACCAAGGAAATGGCATTTCATTGTAAAGGTTTACAAGTATATTTTTTTTTTCTGTCTAACAACATTGCCCATGCAATAGATGCATGCGTATGTGTGTCATTTGATATTATCTCCTGAAAGAGAATCACATCTTGTTTTTCTCTGTTTTTTAGAATAGGGTTTGGTAAAGCTTGTCTCTCAGTTGGAAAAATAATTGAAAATTTATTTAACATGCTCATTTAAAAATATTAAATAAGCTATGAAATTCCAGGGTGAAAGAGCTGTTAAAAACATATTACTAATGGTATTCAAATATTAGGGTTTATGCAACAAATATATTTTTGGTGTTTACAATATAATGCACCTGTTAATTAGGAAGGAAATTATTTTCTTCCAATTTTTATTTGAAACCAATAGGTTGTTTACTGTAAATATACAAAATAAGCAATTAACATATTGAATTTTATTGTTTTCATTTTTTAGCTTAACAATAATAGTATAGAAAGACCAGTGTGTTAATAAAGATGTTTTGTATAACTCTTTTGTACTTTATCTTTCAGGTCATAGTCCTGGTACTGTTCCGTCACCGAATGTTATTCACTCCAACAAAGTAAAAATCTCAGAGAAGGGCAGCAACTTCACCAACACGATCACATCAGCCAATGGCATGTCAGCCTTACTGAAGGTGCAACCAAAACTGGAACCAAATCAAGGGTTATTCAGAAGCTGTGCCAACGATCATGAACGAGGTGGGTGAAACAACACGCATGCTCTACAAACTGAAATTTGTATGGCAATTTAGATGTTATAGCCTACAAAATGAATATTAAATGCAATGACAGATATCAGTGGACCTTTCCAAGTGTCATTCAAATTTTCGCAGAAAACAAGATTTTGTGTGGTTTTTGTTTTCTTATTTATTTGATATTATAGCCTACAGAATGAATCTTAAATGCAATGAAAGATATCAGTAGACCTTTCCAAAGTGTCTTTCAAATTTTCGCAGAAAACCATTTTTTGTGTGGGTTTTGTTTTCTTATTTTTTTGACCAAAGAAACTACCCTCAGAATGAGGATGTAGTAGGTGTTTATTTCCTAATGCTTTTATAGTTTTCGAACTCCAGAGTTCAGTATTCATTGTTTCAGTACAAACAAAATTATTTGTCTAAAATGGTTACGATTTATATTGTTTTTTGTTCCCCAGTGGCAACATCCCTTTATCCAGCCAATCAAACGGATTTCTTTGGATCTCAGCGTTTGCAAGGAAACACACTAACAGATTTTGTGCAGTATGTCTGCGACCAAGAATCGCAGGTGGGTATATACTTAATAACTGGGTAGTAGCAAAGACTATATAATTGCAAGAGGTCCAAATGTCGAGGTTTCTTTGAAATGGAATCCAATTTGATAAGTACTACCACAACAGGACTCCCTTTAAAAGAACAAAAAGGCACATCGGACACGTGTTACGTCTTATAGAACTTAATTTCGAACTTTGATCCCATTCTAATAGGGAGCCCCCTATCTTGTGGTACTACTTGGCTTTTCGTTTCATTGTGTGCATGCACACAATAAGGGTAGTCAGACCTCTTGCAGTTTTATACTCTTTAATAATATAATTTGTTAATCAGTATACATCATCGCCATCAAACGCAAGCTCGGTGGTATAGAGGTATGATGGCAGGCTAGTGATCTTGAGATCGTGGGTTCAAGTCCCATCCGAGAACAACTTGCGATTTTTTTCGCAGTTGTTTTCAAATTTACTGAATATTCGGTACATTTCCACGTCAGATAGGGCAAAATTACACCTATACAGTATTCATCATATTAACATAGGATTATGGACAGGTATTTACAATAACAAATTTATTAGCAATAATATTTTATTAGCAGCTACCGTAAATGATCAGATATATGCCAATCTAGACTAAGCACTGCTCCTAAATATGCACCACACCAAATATGATTGTCATTACTGAAACATTGCTGTGTTTATTAGAAATATACTCTATTTTTTAATGAAATCAACTTCTCACATTTTAAATTATACTTTGTTGTTTTAATTTCATATTTTATGTATAAGTATCCAAAAAGTTGATGACCATCTCAATTTTGTCCTAGCAGCATGGTATCTCCGGCAACGCCAACACCAAAATAGCTGGATTCATTCCTGCAACAATGCTTCCACCTCCACCTCCGCCACCAATGGCAAGACCAGTAGCCATAGCAACATCAATCGGTCAAACAGGAGCATTGTCAATGACAAACCCTATAGTTGGTAGCACTCCAGGTAAGTAATTTTTATTGCAATGAAATTTGCTGCTAATACAGTGGTGAAATGTGTATAAATAGTTAATTTTTGCATATTTGATTTATATAATAAATTTTTTTACACTTACATACACCCCACAACTCCCACAACCTTTTTGCAATGCTAATGAATAAAAATGTGGCTATATGCTGCATGACATCCTATCAGTAATGGATTAAGGTCAGGATTTTTGCTTTTTAATAGGCATAGAAGAAAGTTAAGGTATTAATCTTGACCTGAGTACATGCTGGTATTCAGTGAGTGTATATGTTGTCACAGGTTGTGACACAACCATTCAGAAATTCAGGAAACTCAAATTGTTTATATTTTATCACGTGGATTAATGTGGAAACAACATTAATTATAGTGTTAACAAATGAAAGTATCATATTATTTTTATAAACATCTCTATCATTTTTTTCATTTTTTCCAGGCACCACAAGTGTAGTCAGTGCCTGTCCAACTACACCACCAGGCAGGGGTGTAATGCACAGTCCATTCACAGTTCTCCACAGGCCTGATAACACAATGTTGTACACACAACAACAGGTAAATTACTATTGTTATTAGCATTTCCATTGTGAATTTGGCTATCTAGTGGCCATTGAGAAAAAAGGTCATTATACATTATAAAACCTAAAAAAAAAACACAAGAAGAGTGGAAGACTAGACATCCTTTATAAATTTTAAGAAATACTATACCCTGCAACTTCTTACCCAGGAAACATGCAGAGGGAGGAGGGTAGTGATCATCAACTGGATGGAATGTTATGTTGAGATAACATGGGCATAACTAATGTGTGCATGTAGGTCCTAGGTGGCAGTTGCATAAATAGGGCTTGCCATAGCAAAACCAGCATCGGTGCATAAAAATGAAAATTGACCTTTTAAACATATTCTTATTTTCGACATTATAAGCATTAAATGATGGGTCATTTACTGAAATCAACTTATTATCACCAAAAGTATGAGTAATAGTATTGTGGCTTATCTGTACAATACTGCAACATTCTTTTGCTAATTACTCAGTTCAACATGTAGCAACAGTTCTCTTGTTTTGGAATGGCATGCCTCAAATGATCTAATCATTATTAGTGATGTATTCTTTTTGGATAAATGTTTTAGCACTTAATTTAGAGTACATACCTAAATGTGCTGTTTTGTTTCACCTATGCCTCACAGATGAAATAATACTAATGTTTTACTTCCCTGTTTGAAATAGTTGTTATCGTATCCCAACATAAGTCCTGTGAATATCAGCCCAACAACATTCAGTCCAACGACATTTAGTCTATTGACTTCACCGGTGGCAACACCCAGATCAACACCAAGGTCAACACCTATACCAAGGTGGACAACACCACTCATATCGTTGGAGGAGAATGCAGATTATGCGATGTTAACAGGTATGTTGAAGAGAATTCATTATCCTGTTTTGTGTAAAAAAAAAAAAAAAAATTTTAAATACTCTAGACTGCTGTTTTAACTAAGTTTCTTATGAGGCATTACAAGTGGTGACCACATTGTTTGAAAAATATTTTTAATAGACTGGAAGTGCCAAATAAATAAAAGCAATTTATTTTTTCTATTATTCTACTTAGAACTGTTGCCTCTTTTATTCTCTACCCTCTGATTACAAACAACAATTGTATGTATACTATTACTCCTGCATCTAACCAGGTGTTACATAGCCTGGAACACACTTGCAAAAGGCATGCTGTGTAAGCACTTGCGCAAATACAGCATCAGTATGCTTGCTATTAATGGCAGCCTGAGCGGATCCCTGTTGAAAACAACCTGTTGGGCTCTTAGGCCATGCCAATGTCTTGCCATACCAGTGACCAGTGTGAAAAAAAACTAATAAATTCTTAATTATTATTCCTAATTATTTTTATTCTTATTTTATTTATTGTTGCATTATTTATTTATGATTCCAAACTTCGCCACTGCTTATTTTGATTTGTTCACTTGTTTTGTGCATTGGTCAGGCAATGATCACGGCTGCTTGTGGGTTGTGAGGTGCCTAAATATGTGGGGTGCAGCGCTTCGTATCTGCAAAGAAAGGCGCTTTACAAATGTTCTGATTGGATTGGATTGGAATAAATATGTACAATAATTATTTTGCTATTTTGTGTCACAAGCCTGCTACCTTATCCTTTGGATGCTGCATTCAATCATCCTTACCTATACATTCTTTTCCAAGATTTGCATGCCTTCCCCTAATTGTTTACCAACTTTTCTCAAGTTAATGCCATCATTTCTAAAGTTACTCCCATCATCATCCAGGTCCCGCACACCTCCCAACTCACACTCACCTTTTGACAAGTCTTTTCCACCATTAATGAAGTTAAGTTCTCCAGTTCTTTTGCAGTCTATTTGTATAATAGATGAGTAAAATATTGTTTTATTCCATCAGGAATGATTCCAGGCGCAACAACTGATGAAACAATTCTGAGTAATGATGGTAAGACATTTATTATTACCGACTAAGACACATAAACAAAAAAAAGTCAGTAATTTAGAGATGTATTAATAACTTTTTAAAATTAGTTACTGGCCAATCGGAAATTTTGTTCTCATAATTTTCAATTGTAAGTTTACTTACTTAAATATACAAATTGAGCAGTTCAAATATTATTCTTAAAACATTTTTTAATAACAACATAACAAACAGAAAATCATTAATGAATAACTGAAAAAAAACAAAAAAACCAAGCAATAAATTATATAAATATGTTTCTGTAATAATGTGTAGTGTTCAATACAACTAATCTCTCTCACTCATTGATTGTTTCAAATTTATTTTCACAGAGCAAAGATTTGTGCCAGTTCAGATGAACACCGAACCAATGGATACAACAAACAGTGTGCCTAACACGCCCACCAAGTAGCTGATTGGTCTATTAGCTTGGTGTTGAGGAGTTGAGAACCGCAAACAAACAAAGCAAGCATACCATTGAAGAATTAAATACTTCATGTGTGTATATATAGCAAGAAAAAACCCTGTTTTTGTGCTTCCATATTTGTACATAAATATTATATATATAATAAGCACAATTTTGTGCTATTTTTTTCTTTTCAAAAAGTATAATTCCATTATTAGTATATATATATATATAGTTAAGAAATGAAGAGCCTTGATATTTGGAAGTTGGCCTAAATGAGCCTAGACATTGAGATGATGTTGACAAGCACTACCTCTCTGTGATCCTGTAAGTAGTCTAAACACTTTGGCAAACTTTACTACAGTCAGTCTGTCTGTCATATTGCATCTCTGGAAATGTTTACTCAGAAAATTAATGAATACATGAATGAAAATAATTGATGTGGTTCAGATTGAATAGAGTAATTGTGATTTGGAAAAATGTTGGAAGAAGTAAAATGAGATTGAACATCTATTTAAATTATTATAATTACTGTACCATATTTAACAAAAAGCTGAATGCACTTGAATTGTTTTTTTAATGAAATGTTCTAAAATGCTTCACAGAAAAGACACTTATTTTATCCATGAAGTTAGATGGTGGATGAAGGGACTGAATCAGAGTAATACCTAGATATGCAAGGAACTGCAGACTACGTAGTAAAGTTAAAAACATGTTTTTTGAGTGGTGCAGTAGTGCAACCAGACAGAGCCCTCTATAGTTGAGTTTTTATTTTTGCATATCTATAGAGGGCAGTGTTATCTTTGCTAGTGAAGCAGTCATAAGGTAATCACTGGTTAGCAGCACTAAGTCAGAGAGCCTTGTGCCAAATGGGAACATTGCTATGGATATAAAATACAGATGGGAAATTTTATTGATGACTGTATATTTTGAAATGTGTACATTGTTTATTATGAAGTGATGGATTATAGATTGAATTTCATCTGACACAGGATCTTGTTGATCCCCACATGATGAGATGAGCAATATATTTACAGGAATTTGTATGCAGCCTGGGCTAAAATAATAGACCCAAACAGAAATGCTCTCATTTAAGACAAACACTAACATAAGGAAATTCAGTTTTTATATGTTGTGTGGAATATATTCACTAACCTTTTTGATTATGGGTAAAAATTTGACCTAGCAACGTGAATGTAAACAACAGTCCTTTCCAAAGTTGATAGGTGGATTGCCATGACTTTAAGTTGCCATGTGGTTTATTTGGTAAATAATTCTTGAGTAAAATTATTATGTAATGTTAAAAATTAGCTTAAAACATTAGTACCTTTATAAAGTTGTATACACATTATCAAGATTTAACTTACAATTACTTGTGACTTGTTCATACAAGGGTGTGATATAACATCATCATGCCCATGTATGAAAATTGCACATATTTGACACAGTTTGGAAAATGATGACAATTAACAGTCTGCACACAAAACAGATGTAAGTATTTTAAATCATATTTTTTACATTACTGTGAGGATTATTTCATATCTAATTTTAAGAATGAAAAACAATATAGAGATTGCAATATTTCAAGTTAGACTGATAGTTGACGATTTTTTAAATTTTTTATTTAAGTGGTTTGTTTTTTGAAAGAGCTGCTTTTTTAAAAATGAATTTTAGCAGGTCTGAACGAGACAAAAGGTCAACATAACATTGAAGATTCTGTAAAAAGAAAGAATGAGTAACATAATTACAGTGTACTACTGTAGAAAAACATAATAAGCATGTTAAGAATAAATTAGCATTTAGATTTAGTGGAGTATAGTTATGATTTATATGGGATACTCCCAACAGCATGAACATATAATAGTCATAACATTTGATGACGAGCTTGAATCTCAAATAGTATTTTGATAAACATATGAATTATACATAAACTGGATAAGTATTATCATAAAGAGATTTTTATATAACTCTTTAGCTTTAAATATTTCTGAATATATAAAAAGGTCACATTATGGTGTAAACCCAGAAAGAGAACATTTTGATTTAATTTTTTCATAATCTCTAAAATATTATTTTAAAATTTGTGTCTGAAGGTTGGTCTTCATATACTTCACTATTCATAATTTTAGTAATGTTACATGGAATAGGGGGTATTAATGAGGGACGTTAGTGAGGGGAGGGGAGTGATAAAATGATTCATGTGTATCACCATATCCTTTGAATTATATATTCATTAGAGCCTTTGTAATTTTTAACAACCTTGTCCAGAAAAACCAAAATTGTTTTATGTGGAAAAGAATTGTTTTATGTGGAAAATTTCAAATTGTTTTTTGGGAAGTTGCAATGGATTAATCCTTTCTATTTTTAGTTTTACTTTCTCCCAAGTTATACCTGTTTACTATATTTACAGTGCTTCAGTGTAACATGTATATACTGTAGATTGTCAGATACAAGTTATTATGTAATTTTTATTACCATTAAGTTTGAAGTTTTATATTAAATATATTGTTATTAACCGTGTACCAAGTGCAAGATAGAGGTGTATGAAAGTTATCTAAAATGATTGAATGAAATTAAGACTGAAGGAACAAACCTGTCTTGTACAAATCTTGTACTTGTGTGATTTTATTGCATTAGTAGTTTCTCATTTGCATGAATTGCTTGTTTTTGAACAACTCTGCCATTTTCACCTGTTTTGTAAATCTGATGTGTTGACTTAAACTTAATGGCTGATCATTTCATTCTGAGGTAAAAAGAAAATTCACAATTTTGTCTGAAGTGCCATTTCTGGCCATCTAAAGGTGCCATATTCATAAATTTTCTTAACTCAGCCCCAACCATGATGGGTCTGGTGTGGTATAGACCCTCCATGGCCTCAATTTTCTGGATCTATATAATATATCATCTATTCATCATTAAAAAAATTTTGAATAACAATGCACACCTAAAATGCTACGATGAAATTGGTGACCGGGACCTAAAAAGGGCCCCCCAGTTTCAGAAATACACAGGGCCCCGGCCCCTTCGTTACGCCACTAATAATAGGTTCATGAAGCTAGATTTCTGTTAAGCTGAATTCTCCATGCACTGAAATATCTTGTGTTGATTCCTTATAATAATTCCTTTTTGGTGAGAGGGTGGGGGAGGGGGCTAATATTTTTTACTAATTTTTATGTCTGACATTTTGTAAAAAATAATTAAGTTTAAAAACCATGGTCCAATGTTATTTGATTAATAGCAGCACAATGTAGTAGTACAGTGTGCATATTTTGTTAGAATGAATATTTGTCGAGTATTCTCTCTTATAGAGTACTACAGTGTTACGTCACAATACCATGTGATACTACTTCGTTGCTATTGGTGACACAAAATGTGACGCCATTTTATCTATTCACAAACCCATTGATCCCAGATTCTAACGTAATTAATAAGAAGTTGTATCTTCATTTTTCTTTGTAAATGCTAATTGATAACTAATATAATGCAAGCTTTTTGTGTTTTTAGTACATTTTGATGGTAAAATATTAGATTTTAAGATGCCTATTCCAAAAAAAAATCTAAGGTAAACCAAATTAATGTCGGTGTACCCCAAGGAAGGATTCTAGGTCCAATACTATTCATTCTTTTTATTAATGATATATATCAGGCTGTTACAAACCCCTCAAAATAAGTATGTTTGCAGCAGATTATGTTTTTATGTATGCATCAATAAAGATATTGATGTAGTTAACTTTCAACTACGAAGTGTTATGAATAGATGAAATAAACATACAATTAACGCTGAAAAAAGTAAATGTATGATGATAAATAGTATTAATTTTTTATTTATTTATTTGGTATAAAAAAAACCTCACATCAATCCCAGAGGGCAAACCTGTGAGTTTACATAAATATCAATCTTTGCACAAAATATAATATAACAGAATTACAAGATGCACAAAATATAAAAAAATAATATTTAACATTGTATCATCATATTGACATTCATTTATATTATTTACAATTTCAAATATTGAATTACTACTGTATTTACAATTTAATATTTTTAAGCAAGATGATAGAATCGTAACCACATATTATGTTGATAGTTGAATAAAACACATTCTGGAAGCCAAACACGTTTAGATATAGGCCTACAGCAGAGATACAGAAATACAAGATAGAGCATTTCTATAGCAACAACAGTGTGGCGGAAATTGGTCCAGACGCACGCGGCGCTCTTCTCTTTTGATAATGCAAGTCTTCTATATACTTGGTTCAGACGTACAGGGCGCCATTCTGTTGCTGAGTACTAATGAAAACCAGGGTTGCCATTTGGCCTTTTTTCTGACGGCCAGATTCCTCAAATCCCCGTATAAAAATTTGCCTGGCCGTAACGTTTAAAAAGTCACGGCCAAACTATATTTGGCCGAATTTTTAAAAGTTTACATTTTTTTTCAATATAGGCCTAATATAACGTAGACTTGTTTTGGATATGTTGTTTTTGTTAGCTTAAATTCTATATTTGATTCTAATCATGTACCTTTGTTTGTACTTGCACTAAACACTTAATCCATGTTCCCCCTTTAGCCGCTTTGACGTAAGAGAGTTTATTTTAAAAATAACAGTTACATTTAATAATGTAAATTGTTCAGATGAAATATATATTTTTTATGAAGTTTATCCTCTTTCAAGCTTTACGAAGACAGTTCAATGCAAGTTTGTACCATATATTGTGTGTCTTTGTATATTTCCATCCTAATGGAGGTTCTATCTCTTGGATTTCTTTTGAATATAAATTAAATACTGTACTTTAATTAAATTATTGCCCACTTGAATTATACTGAGCCCTAGGTGCTGCAGTGTTCTTTATGTAGAGCACCCATATATAAATGCTCGATGTGATCACTCGGGTCCGATGGCACCTCCAATTTCAAGCCAGTGTTGCAGAGACTTCTTCAAAATTACTCTGGAGTTAGGTTGCATATGAGAATGAAGAAAATAATTCTGATAGCAACATTGATTTATTGCTAGTACTGCGACAATAACATTCAGAGGCGAATTTAGA